GTCAGCTGGATATCACACAAGCATCTCAAGTTCAACATATCCAAAATAGAATTCTTTTCCTCACCCTGTACCAATTTATCTAACTTTCCAGTTTTTATTGAAGACATAATCATCTTTCTGAGTCAAATTTAAAACACTAGTGTCATACCGGATTCCTCAATGTCCCTCAACCACTGGCCATATGCAATCAGTTGTAAAGTCGTGTTTATTTATTCTACCACCACACCATCCCTCATGACCATCTCCTTTTCACTCACAAAGCCACTTCCTTGGCATCGATCCTCCTCATTTCCTGCCTAGGCTAGTCCAACAGTTTCCTGATTGATCTCCTGGCCCCTCCTTTCTCCACATGGTTATTCTAGTAATAGTCCTAAAACACAGGTCTGATCATGTCACTCCCAAGCTCAGGAAGCTCCAAAGACTACCTATTGACACCTGTAGTTTCAGCTACAAACTCTTCTCCTTGGCATTTAAATCCTCCAATATCTGGCTCTAGACATTACGTATTAATCTGCTATTGTACAGCTTAATTCTTGTAGTTCCTCACATATGACATGTCATCTCCCATCTCCATATTCTTGCATAGACTGTTACATGCATAAACTGTTCATGCCTGGAACATAACCACTCCTCATCACCACCTCTTGGAATCCCTGTTAAGTTGATTCAGTGGTGTCCAAATCTTCTTGACCCCATCTGGGGTTTTCTTGGCAAATTTGCCATTTCTTTCTCCAGCTCATTTTACAGATGAGGAAACTGAGGCAAACAGGGTTAAATGACTTTCCCAGTTGGTAAGAGTCTGCGGCTGGATTTGAACTCAGGAAGATGAGTCTTAGAGCAAGCATTCTATCCACAACGCCATTAGCTTTCTTCAAAACTCATTTCAAGCAGGACTTCCTACATGAGAATTTTCCTGTCCTCATTTCTCTACCTCCTTCCTTCCACTGAAAGTCCCTCCCCTTCCCTCTCACTAGCCATCACCTTGGATTTACTTGGATCTTTATTTTGGATCTACTTATTATATGCAGCTATTCCAACAGAATATAAGTTTCTGGAGAGCGGGGATGGTTCCATTTTGTCTTTGTACCCCTATGTACCTCGAACTGGGGCAAGGCATACAATGGAGCTTAATAAGTTGTTGTGTTTTCCGTTACCAGGGGCTTTGGCATGCAGTTTCGTGGAGGCAAATTCACTAGAGACCCACCTTTGTCCCTTTCTTAGGCAATAAGAGATTATGCAAAATCCTGTAGGTGTTTGTCAATAAGATGGAAAATAGAATGTCTGTGACAACTCAAAAAGGTTTTTATTTTTTGACCTAAAGTTTATGGGGGGATCTAGCTTCAATTTTTGTTTGACTCATAGAAAATAACCATTTTGGTAATCTGCACTCCAAAAAGTAATTACTGACAGCTATAGGGCTTAGGAAACTATCGTGACCATTTATACTCCATTCTGCCCACATGTGTCACAGAAATATCGGGTAAGTTGTGAGAAGCCCTTTCCTGCTATGCTCAGAAAGCAGTGAGCAATCAGTCAACAAAAACAATAACAATAAAGCTCGAGGGGTGGGGGTGGGGCAAGAGAGCGATTTAGGGAAGTAGCAAGGGGTTTTTTTTTTAACGTGGTAAAATTGAAACAGCCACTGGCAAGAGAAAATGAAATCCCTTTCCACTAAATCTACACAATACAGTTACAGAGTAACTTCCCCACACCACTAAGAAACATAAGCCTCAACCCCTTCGGGTAGGAGGAAGGAGTGAGTTATTTCTCCCTCTGAAAAGACTAGTTTTGAGTCTACATCATAAAGAATTGAATAGATTTATCTCAGGTTGGCAGGAAGGAGGAGAACAGAGAAGAGGTGTCAATTATGTCACGGTTTCACTTTGTTTTACATACAGTATCACAACTGAGCCTCCCAACAGTGTTGTGAGATAGATACTGGAGGTATCATTCTCCCCATTTTACAGTTGAGGAGACTAAGGCTCAACCAAGGTTGAGTGACTTGCCCTAGGTGTCCAAAATGGAGATCTGAACCCAAGTTGTCCTAAATCCAAGTACAGCTGTACTTCATCTGTTACGACATGATTCCTTGTCAGATAGGATTTATTCTCCGCCTCAACTCCCACGTAACAGATCAGAAGAGGGAAACTTGGTTTTGTTAAGTAAATTCTCCAAGACCACACAGATCTGAGAGGGAAGAACTGACTGTATCCTGACTACCAGACTCCTCTGCCTTCCTAGGGCTGTCTCACTAAAAGACGAAGTTCCAGCAAGGCAGAACAGAAAAGAGCTCCTCTCAGGCGATTCTAAGAAGAGGAGTTAGGATTAATCAGGTTCACTGGAAATCTCAACAAAGTTACCTGATGGGGTATGGGCCAAGCCAAGACCTTTGCCCCTTGCCCAGAAAAGAATTTGGGTCCCATTTGTCTACGGGCCCCAGAAAAACCTTAAATTTTATTTGACTTCACTCTGGTCTCAAAGGGTTATCTGAGGATGGCTTTTCCTTATCGACTCTCCCTATCTGCCTTTGAAAACGCAGTAAAGCCCTAGTGTATACTTCCTACCTTTAATTTTATCCAGATCCCATTCAAACCTCTTCCTTCCAGTTCCCTTCATTATCCCACTGTCTATTCAACCTCCCAGAAATTCCAATTGGAATATTCCCTAAACTCACCCTAGCTTCAGGATCTTTCTCCTAGCCCCTCCTCTAAACACCCAAAATTATTTGAGTCTATATAAGATCCATCCTGGCCCCCATTTAAACCCTGAGACTTCCTCATGCCCACCCATCCTTATGGGTGTCACTAATTTTCAGATTCCTTAAGAATCTGGCCTGTATGATTTATCCCTAAATACACTTTTTCTCTGGCTGAAAGATTTGGGCCAAATTCTTTCGGGCAGGACCCACGTGTCATTATTTTGCAGTTCCAGCACCCTTAAACCTCTAGACCTCATCATTACCCACTAAAAATCATGGTGGATAGTGTTAGAGCCAGGCAGAGCTAGGTTCAATCCTAACAGGCACATCAGCTATATAACCCTAAGAAAACCTTCAACCTCTCTGGGTCTGTTTCTTCATCTGTAAAAGAAGGGTGTTGTTCTAAATGACCTCTAAGCTTACTTCCACCTCCAAATATATGATCTTATGATCTAATACAGCAAAGCACATGTCCAAATCTCAAGAGCAAAAAAAAAAAAAACACAACGCATAAATAAATAAATCATCTCTTACTCATTTTTTCCTACGTGCAAAAGTCATTCTCATTGAACTACATCACTGAAGTCATTCTCATTCTCTCTAGCCCCACAGCCTATGTTTTCTTCTGAGCTTTTCTCATTGTCCATCTGGTTTACTCCTACATTGGCCTCCCTGTTTAGCCCAGTGATCTCCTGGATCCAAGATATTTCAAAATACAGCTTGAAAGAGTATTTATTCTCCAGCACCCCATGTTGCCATAGCCACCCCTCCATCCCTTCTCCCGTTTCCGTCTGCTTTACCCCCATCAAATTCATTCCAGATGCTCATCTTTCACCAAATATTTTGGAACATCTTTTTTTTTTAAATCAATGAACCTAATGCTAACTTCCTCAGTGTCAATCCAATTTATCAACCCCATTTGCCCTCCCAGCTGGTACTAGTGATAAGATGGAGAAAGTGGCCAGCTGACAGTAGGAAGGATTTACTTAGCCAATCAACATTCTAAAGTTTCAAAGTAATCAAATACTAATATACATGAGCTGACTTTATTATATTGAATTTTTTCACTTTGGGCCAAAAACATGGTTTCAACAGTACTGGGAGCTCCCAGTGAGGAAATTCTATCAATGCAGATCAGCATTTGCTCTCCAACTTACAGTGTTCCCAAGGCAATGAGACATTTTCTGTGAGGTCAGCTCCCTAGCCATTGTGCCACATTCCACAAGATGAGAAAGGGATGGACCACAGATCTAGAGCCTGAAGGGACCTCAGGTCATCTAGTCCAATTGCCTCATTTTAGGAAAGTAACTAAGTCCTAGGAAAGTTAATAACTTACCCAAGGTCACAGAGGTAGTAGTATCTAAGGGGAAAACTGGCACTATTATCTCCAGTTTACATAACTGGAAAATGAGGCTGAGAAAGGTTAATGTCACACAGTAAATATCTGAGACAGGTCCTCTTGACATCAAGTCCAACACTTTCTCTATTGTGTCATCTAGTTGCCATGGCATACTAAACACCTACTATGTGCAATGGCAATCCCACAGGATGCAAAGGCAAAAAGAAATGCTTTCTCTTACTTTTTCAAAGTTTCTATTATGCTAGAATTATGTCTGGAAGAACATAGGACAGTGAACATTATTACCTCTGGAAAAACATTACCACAATGTCTCATACATAGTGGGCACTTACTAGTCGTTCACTGACTGACTGGAAGAAGCCTTTTATCCTTTTCTTTACCCAAACCTAGTAGTATATCTATTTTCATCCTATCTCTTAGCATATCACAAGGTGATATTACAAGTGTTTAACAATTTGCCCAGTGAGAAAGGCAAACCTAAAGACTTTTTTTTTCAACTTTGCAAGCTCAAACATCTGAGTCGAATCTCCCAAGGAGGAAGGAGCCATAAGTGAAACTGAGCATGCTCCTGGTAGAAAACAGTAATGTCAACACAGCCATAAGGTACAACTTTACTGAAGCTTGAGGAGCAACCACCTATCTATTCAGTGAAAGGAATAGCTTTATTTCCTATTACTCCATATCACCGACATGATAATTCCTTTAAGGTCTAAATGCTGACTTTTATGCATGCCAGCCAACACACTCTGTGGGTGCTGACCAAAAGCTTAAGGCTATTATGAAAAGTATGAACTTTTTTCTCTGAAAGAGCCCCCATATCTGAGTTTCGCCACAAAACACACTCTAGCGTGCTGAGTCTGTAGGTGACTTTCTTACACTTCAGCTATTTGCATACCACTAGTTTCATCTACGTCAAATTTAAGACTTAAAAACCACACAGATAGAAAGGAAAAGATTAGTACCTGCTTGCAGACCAACAATGGGGTGGTTACTAGCTGGGGCCAGCTGAACATCTCTCTATACCTTGAAGTTAAGCCAGAAAAAAGGTCAGAAACAATCACTCCAGGTATGTATTATAAAAGACTTTTTCATATGCTCTTACTATAGAGGGGAAATCTATGGTTTTTCTACATCTAAAGCAAGGGCAGGGTGGAAATGTCCAGCATATTCTAGGCTTTGGTTGGCAACTGCACATTTTCATGCTAAATTCTTCTAGAAACTCTGGCTAGAGACCCACAGAGTGCACTGCTGGCTAACCTGGGACACCATGTTAAGGAAGGGGCTTGGTTTGAAATCAGAAAACTTGGTTTCAAATCCAGTCTCTACAACTCATTATCTGTGTAAACTTGAGAAAGTCAATTAACAATGACCTCTAAAATTTCATAGAGTTCTGAATCTATGCCATATGACCTATGACACTTCTCCTTAATGTCCATCTCTCTCTTAAATACAAAGCTTATCCATTCTTATAAAGAGGAAGAAGAATGTTCAAACATTCAACCCTTAGATTTCTGAGAGTCTCTGCCTTGAGGCTGGAGAAAATCTGAAGTTCTTGGCCTTTTACATCTGGGTAAAGTGCTCCTTAAAATGGCTCTCCTCCACAACACTGTGAATGATTTGTTTCAATAAAATTCTTCAGTGGGCTTTTCAAATAATGGACGGTAAACAGTAAAGCCTGGACTGTCTCTACAGAAGAAGCAACAATGAGTGGGCTGAGAGAAAGCCTGAATTCTTTTTCTTTTTGTGTCCCTCATATTTGCACCTGATTTAACGGTGCCTCAAACTCCCACAGTACTACTAAACCACGTTGATGATGATGATGATGATTCGGAATAGCAAAAAAATCCTGAGATGTCTTGAGAATCATAAAGATTAATGTTCAGTATAGCTTATGTATTAAGTAAGCTGTGTCCTTACCATACTCTAAATCTCTTTTAAATTGCTATCCCATGCTTGGTATATATGAACTTCTATTGGACATAAATATTAAATCAATTAGAGTTGGAAGGGGGCTTAGAGATCATTTAGTGTATGCCCCACGTTTTATCGATGAGCAAACTGAAGCTCAGAGGGAAAGTGACTTATAGGTTACTCCGTAAATGGCAGACAGGATGTGAACTCAGGTCCACTGACCAGATCTCCCACCTTCCTTCCCCTTCTTTAAAGATTAAGTGCTGGGGTCCTAGGATCCTAGATTAGAGGTGGAAGGGACCTCAGAGTTCATCTCACCCAACCCCCTCATTTTTACAAATGAGGCTCAGAGTTAAATGACTTGTCCAAGATGATACAGGTACCAAGTGGCCAAGCCAACTCCAGACCCAAGGCTCTTTCATTCACATCCTATTCCTCAACCAGTCTGGTTGAAGGAGCGTTTTCTATACAATTAACCAATGGATGTATATCAAACAACTACCATGGGAGGTGGGAGGGGACCAAGGAAGGACAAATATGAGAAGTATAAGACACTGTTTGTCAGAAGAAAAGACTGATGCATGAAAAAACAGGAGAACAGTATAGGAGTATAGGACAAAATCCACTCCAAAGCAACTGTTTATTATTACCTACTAATAAATATAAAGAAAACAAACGAGTCCTTGTCCTAAAAGAGCTTGTATTTTGCTGCCTGTGGTAGTGGATAAAAGGCTGGATCACTGTTGAGAAAATCTGGGCTTAAACAGTTCACTAGCAGTGAAACCCTGGGCTGGGTATTTGTGGGGGCAGAAAGGGAAAAAAAAGTATTTATATCATGCTAAGTTAGCTATGTGCTAAGCACTTCATTGTTATTATCTCATTAGATCATCATAATAACCCTAGGAGGTAAGTGCTGTTATTATCCCCATTTTATAGATGAGGAAACTGAGGCAGATAGAAGTGAAATGACTTGCCTAGGGTCACACAGCCAGTAAGTCTCTGAGGCCAGATTTGAACTCAGATCTTACTGAGTCCAGGCCCAGCTCTCTACCTACTGTGCCATCTTGCTGCCCCAATTAACTGCTCTCTGCCTCAGTTTCCTTATCTGTAAAAATGAGAATAACAATAGCACCTGCTTCAGAGGGTCATCTGTACAGATCAATGCAGATAAGCAATTTTTTGCAAATCTCAAAAGATTATATAAATGTCTATTATTATTTGTTCCTAGGGGGAGGAAGCAGAAGGGTAGAGCATGAATACACATAAGTAAATAAAATTACACAAAGAAATTTTAAGAGGGTGAGAGCTGTGTCAAGTAGGGAAGGGAAAGGAAGGTCTCCTGGGACGCAGCCCCTGATCTGTGTTTGTGGAAGGAAGGGAGGATTCTCATTCTTTAATCAAGTGCTAAATAATGTGGTCCAGATGGCCAAGGCCATTAGGTGTCCAGGCTTGGGCACATCAGTGAGGGCCAAAGTCGTCAGGGGAGGCTTCTGGGAAAGGTTTGGCCTTCAGCCGGTCCTTAGGGTTTCAATAAATGGAAGAAATCACCAACATGAGCACAGACACAGAGGGAGAGAGGGACATGGCATGTCCCCAAGGCAGTGAGGGGGTCAAAATCCTCCCAAAGGGAGCATGCACATTGTGGAAATAAAGTGAAATAAAAACAGTTACCAGAGCATCTCATAATCCCATAGGACTTGAAGGCTAGCAAAGAGCTCTCCCGCTAACAATACCCTGAGGTGCTAGAGCAAGAATTCTCATTTGCACTTTATTCAACAGGGATGGTGGCTTCTCAGGGAGGGGAAGGGACGTATTTGTCTGTGGTCACCCAGTGGATGATGCCTCCCATCCTAATTGTTCATAGAACTTTATTGTTAATTTTATGGTTTTTTTGGGAGGTGGTATGTTCAGACTTGTGATTTTATCAGTGCAAGGAGGAAATTCCTCCTACTAATGGCAACTTCTCTGCCAACTTATAGAGTAGAAGAAAGAAGGCTGGCCTTAGAATCAGTAAGAGCTGGGTTCAAGCCCTCCTTCTGACCCACACTGCTTGTTTCAGTTACATGGGACCAAAAGGCATACTTTTACTCTTTCCATTGTGGGTTTTACCCAAAGTGTAGGCAAAAAGGCATGAAGTCCACTACTTTAAGAGCCAATCTGGAAGGAGATTAAAAATAGGAAATGAGAGATCAGATCAGGGAAGGCCCTTAAAACCTGAGAGAGGGGTTTAAGATTCTATAAGGCTGGAAATAGGCCAGATTCTAAATATCCAGATCCAGTTTTTCATTTACATGAAAATTTTAACTTTACATGAAATTTTACATATTCGTTACCTGGACAAAAACATAAAATTTCATCAAATCCTACTCCTTCAGTCAAACCCTGCTCTTCCACTTCATACACAGTGATATGCTTTCCTCCAGGCCTTCAGTAACAGTAGGGAGAAATTCCTCAGCCTGGCATCATCACTCTGCCAGCTTTCCTTCTCTTCCTCTTCTCCAACCTTAATGGACTTTTCACTGTTAAATGAACTCAGCATTCTATCTCTCTCTTTAACGCATTCACACAAACCACTCCCCAAACCTCTACTTTGTTGCTGCCCTAAATCCTTATCTCCCTTTTCTCTCCCCATCCCCCAGAATGTAAGGTGCCACCTACCTGCTGAAGCTCTCCCAGATTATTACAGCCCCCACCCCCTACCCCAGTTCCTGGAACTATTTCCCTCCTCAAATTTTCTTGGATTAATTTATCTGTGTACATCTTTAACCTCCTCAATAGCGTCCTCAAGAATGCTGAGTATCTGATGTACTGTAAGAGCTCAATAAATTTCTATTAAATTTAATTAACTTAGGTATATTTAATTTTCCAAGTAAATCCATCATTGAAAGCAATTATTAAGTGACTACCTATCTTTCTATATCTGTACATCTACATGGATGTCAATGTCATCATATCAGGCCTCAGACACTTGACATTTACTAGCTGTGTGACCCTGGGCAAATCTCTTAACCCTGACTGCCTCACCAAAAAGCAAAAATCAATATGTTAGCCAGTCACTGCTAAGCATTAGGTAAACAAAAGGAAAGAGAAAACAGCCCCTCCCCTGAAGGTGTCTACATTCCAATGGGCTAGAAGTCACTTAACCCCTCTGAGCCTCAGTTTCCTCAACTGTAAAATGAGGGGACTAGACTATGGGGCTTCCAAGGTCCCTCTCAACTCTAAATCAATTATCTTCTCATCTTATAAAAACGGATCTAAATTATTGTGTTGAAAGAAACTGGGTCCTGTTGCAGGAAACACACTTATGTTCTAATCTATTCATTCTGACCTTAGTAGAGGTAGGATCTCATCACAGAAACCTAATTGTGGCACTTTAGAAACCATTGTGCATCCCCCTTTCCCCATTTTGTAGATGAGGAAATAGTTTAGCTTCCTCTTCTGCAAAGCAGATACAGTTCTGTGATGATATGAGGCCACTGTCAGTAATTAAAGGTTCACATGCCAGGAGCCAATAGTCAAGAGTGCACAGATATGGAAATGGACCGTCTAATCCCTGGGTGGGCACTTAGGATGAAGGTTTGGGAGCCAAGCCAAACAATCTAAATGGCCACCAAAGTGACCCTTCTCTGTCCCCTCAACTCAGCATTTCATCTCTCACTGAGCATTTTCAAGGCAGCCCCCCCCCCCATGCCTCCACATCTAGAATACACCCCTCCTCATCTCTGCCTCTTAGAATCTCTGCTTCCTTCAAGGCTCTGCTCTTAAAGGAAGCCTCCCCTGACCCCTCTGGCAGTTAGCAGTTTCTCCTTCCTGCAATGATATTGTTAATTACCTGTTTAAGTATTGTATACCCTTACAGAAGGTAAGGGCCTTGAAGGGTCTGTCCTTTGCTTCTTTTAAGTATCACCAGCACCTAACACTATTCCTTGCACATTATGGGCATTTAGCAAAAGCTTGCTATGCCAGCCTGGTGCTGAGTGAAATGAGCAGAACCAAGAGAACTTTGTACACAATAACAGCCATATTGTGTGATGACTAACACTGATAAACAACCTTTCTCAGCAATACAAGGATCTAAGACATCCCCAGAGGCCTCAGGGTGAAAATGCTATCCATATCCAAAGAAAGAACTATGGAAGTTGAATTGCTATCATTTTTTATTCTCTTCTGCTGAGTTTTGGTTCCTCTTTCTAATGGTTCCTCCTATTGGTTTTAATTTTTACTTACAACTTCACTAATGTGAAAATATGTTTAATAGGAATGTAAATGTATAGCCTATATGAGATTGTGCACCATCTTGGGGAGGATAGTGGGGAGGAAGAGGGAGAAAATTTTTAAACTCAAAAGCATATGGAAGTGATTGTTGATAAATCAAAATAAATTAATAAAATTTAAAAAAAAAAGCTTGCTATACCTGGAGCTTGCTACAACTAAGCTAAATTCCCTGCGGGCTCCAGGTTGTGCCAGGTATCTTTGTGGCTTGAGACCTTCAGCAAAAGCCCCAGTGAAAACACAAATCTGTTAAAACTCTGCCTCATGGCCACCCAGTTGGCCAAAACACCAACATAACTAATCTTCAATTCAAATCATGCATGACAATTCCTCAAAATAAAATCCTTCAGGGACAGCTAGGTGGTACAGTGGATAGAGCACTGGCCCTGAAGTCAGGAGGACCTGAGTTCAAATCCAGCCTCAGACCAAACACTTGACACTTACTAGCTGCGTGACCCTGGGCAAGTCACTTAAGCCCAATTTCCCCCCCAAAAAAAATCTTCAATTAGAATACTTCAGCAGCCCAGTTTGACCCACATTTATCTACTAGAAATTGCAGTAACAAGCAAGGGAATAATTTCCCCATGATCCAGTAGTAAATGGGTATATTCTAGACTAGATCCAGAGCACCCTAAATCCTTTTCTTGGGCCAGAAAATACATACATGAAGTCACTTAACCACTCTGAGCCTCAGTTTGCAAAGAGGAAATGTGATGGCATCATGTTTCATCATGCAAAGAGAAGGATTAAACAAGTGAAAATATGCTAGTTTTCTATTCAGTATCGAACACCATGACTGACCAACACTCTTAACCTGATGAACTCTGGCCAACGATCACTTGTTCTCTCAGCTGAAAGCTTTCCATCATCCCCTTTTCCTCATCCAGCAAATGTCCCAGTGTTGCCACATGTTACCTGTGGGACTGTGGATAAGTGAAGATAACTTTCCCCAGGCCTCAGTTCCCACATAAAAGAGGAGGCTGGACTTGATGACATGACCTCTCAAATCCCTTTCCAGGCCTAATCTATTGTGCTAGGTACTCTTCCAGTTTTAACCTACTGTAAGTCTCAAAAACTCAGAGCCCCCAAAAGCTTCACAAAGTGTATTTTTCAGCCACAAACCAACTCGTTTGAGACTCATTTCCTCTATGTTTCTGAGAACCTTAATGTCTTTGTCTCCTCTTCAAACAATACACTTCCCTAGTTAGCAACTAAAAAGCTACAAAAATGTGAAGGAGTGTATGTACATGCATGCGCATGTGTGAGAGAAAACAAAGTGTGATAGGGCAGATGACAAGATGCCAAGACCTTGGGACACATTCAAAAGGGTCTTTGGGATTCCAGTCTCTCTGTGATGTGCCCTGGTCAGATCATATGTGAGATACTCACTGGGTTCTCTTTGGGGTCTCTCTCAGCTGTAAGTTTAGCACTCATTCCATTTTAAAATTCTACCTCACCAGCTTTTCTAAGTTGTGATTTTCTTAAATTAAATCTCCTTGCAGGGCTTCCCCTCCTGGGATCTTCTGGGCACCTCCAAGTCTTTGCCTTTTCACAAAGAAAATGTATTCCAACAGCTCTCCCATCTGTATGATCTACAAAGACCTGGAGCCATTTACATATTTCTTCTACTTGATCTTCCTCGTTGGAATTATTGGGAGCTGTTTTGCAGTCTGGGCATTCACCCAGAAAGATGCAAACCCCAAGTGTGTGAGCATATACTTAATTAACTTGCTCACGGCAGATTTCTTGCTCACTCTAGCACTGCCAGTGAAAATTACTGTCGACTTAGGGGTGGCCCCATGGAAGCTAAAGATTTTCCACTGCCAAGTGACCGCCTGCCTAATCTACATCAACATGTACTTATCGATTATATTTTTAGCCTTTGTCAGCATGGATCGCTGTCTTCAGTTGACACACAGCTGCAAAATTTACAGGATACAGGAGCCTGGCTTTGCTAAAATGATATCCACAGTGGTATGGCTGATGGTTCTCCTGATAATGGTACCCAACATGGTGATTCCCATCAATGACATTCAAGAGAAGCCAATAGTGGGCTGCATGGAATTCAAAAAGGAGTTTGGGAGGAACTGGCATGTATTTACTAATTTCATATGCGTGGCAATATTCCTAAACTTCTCAGCAATCATTTTAATATCCAACTGCCTTGTCATCAGACAGCTCTACCGAAAAAAAGACAGCGAGAACTATGCAAACGTGAAACGGGCTCTGATCAACATATTGCTGATAACTGGGAGCTACATTATCTGTTTTGTTCCTTACCACATTGTCAGGATCCCCTACACTCTCAGCCAGAGCAATGTCATAACAGACTGCCCAACCAAGATCTCACTCTTTAAAGCTAAGGAAGCAACTTTACTGCTAGCAGTATCAAACCTATGTTTAGACCCTATTCTATACTATAACCTCTCGAAAGCATTCCGGTTAAAAGTGACTGAGATCTTTGCATCGCACAGGGAGACAAGTGTCCAGCAAGAAACACCAAGGCATACAAGCGAACTATAAGGAAACCACATTTTCGAGTTCTCACAAATACAAACTGGAAAATCTATATGGGAAGGAGTAAAAAACATTTGCTTGACAAAACCAGTGGACTAGTGTTAACTTTAGCCATGTGTCAGTAGCAATACCAAGTCAAACAAATGAGGATCGCTTGGTCTGCAGACACTGCCTGTAAAGAAGGCAAACCAGCTTGTGATTGCTCATACGCCTTAACCAAAATATTTATACAAAAACCCAGCAAGTTGTGTGGAATAACAGGTGCAAAACAAAACAACACCCCTGGCATCTAAATGAGGTTTATGAAACAGGCTCAATGAATTAGTTGGAAATTGATGGTGTATGGAACAGTTTTAAGACTCCTGGAATGACCTTGTCATTAAAAGTGACCAGAATAGTCTCAATAAAAGTGCCTGAGAAATACTAGTGGAATAGACCTGGAAGAGAACCAAAGTAACCAGTCCAAATAGTTCCAGTATTACCTTCAAACCATCAGTGGTTGGTTTTTCTCTCTATTATTCCAATGAGAGCAGTTTCAGAATTTCCCAGACTACGCGCTAATTTTCAAAATTTCATGTATATTTCTACATAACCCTTAAAGAAAAAAAATTTTGAAGAGGGCCTGGAAATATAGTAATTTGATTTTTAATAGTCTTAGTTGATTATATTCTACCCGAAGGCTGCAAATAAAGTTTGTCCAGCTTTAATAATAGTCAACCATATCATTTTGCTACTTGTGGTAAGTGAAAATGGTACAGTCATTGGCTCTGCCATCAGAGCACCTGGGTTAAAATCCTATGTCAGACATTAACTTTCTGTGAGATCTTGGGAGATTCATTTAACCTTTCTGAGCCTCAGTTTCCCCATTTGTAAAATGAAGGGACTAGATTTGCTGGCTTCAGAGTGTCCTAAATGTAGACTTATGGTTTTATAAGCCAAAGGAAAAACAATAACCACATAATGCTGTCAAACAACATCATCACAAAACTCAACATTGTAGATAAATCTGAAAATCACAAATACTATAGTAGCATTTCAAGAAAAAATAATCAATTTTCTGACCCTTGGTTTCTAAAAATAGGACCAGGAGTGATAGTGTTTGTCCAATTGTAGAAGAGTCTTAACCCATAGAATATGTTACAAATTACAGAATGCTAGCAGTGGGAGGTGGCTTCTTCAGACTATGCAGATGCTATAAACCATATGGTATTCCTTAACAGCACACTGAGAAGTGGGAAATATTGGCATTTAGAGTAAAAGGACAAGTTCCTTTTTACTGTTCTCATTGACATTTTGGTACTCATATCTTCCTTGTCACAAAAACCACTTTCTCAGGTAGGTCACAGATTTGGAACTAGAAGGCACCTGCACCTTAGAGATCATCTTGCCTTATACCCTCATATTATAGATGAGGGAGCCAAGAGCCAGAAAGACTGAATAAATTGTCAAAGGTCACAAAGGGGGAAAAACAACAGGGCTGGGATTGGAGCCCAGACTCTCTGAATCTAAATCCAGTATTCTTTAACATAAGGTCCTATGCTGGCTACTGCAGACCATCTCCACTTCAAAAAATGAAAGGAGTCAACAGATAACATCAAATTAGAAATCGGTAGATGGACTAAAATGAGGGGTAACGAAATGGGAAAATTTGAGGGATAATAATGTTAAACCTGAAGCAAAGAATATCACAGTAATTAAAACAGATGTGTTTCTTTTAGGGGTAGTTAGCTTGGCACCTCTGTACACATCACATGTACATGTACACATGCATGCACGCGCGCGCGCGCACACTCAGACACATCTTGTGACAACGGATTACATCATGGATCCTTGCCACTGGACAGCTATTTCTCAAATATTTGTACAAATACTCAGAGGATAAATCATAGAAGGAAACATGGATTTCTCCATGTAAAACATCTGCATAAGAATCCAATTTTTAAAAAATTTTTAAAAATGCCTACACCTTTCATTTCTTTTTATCCTCATCACAATCTTGTGTGGTAGCTGTGGCAGCTATTTATGATATAGATTTTATAGACCAGGGCTTCTTAAACTTTTTCTACTTGTAATACCTTTTTGTGTTTCATCAGTGTTCTTTGGAGTTGTGTAGCCGGAGGGCACGCACAGTGTTCAGAACCAAGGCTGCAGTGAAGCGGAATGATTCAACACCGCCAACTGCTGCCAGAAACACCTTGGATTCGTTTGCACTTGATCTTTAATTAATTTTTGGTTGTTGAGTGTTCAGAAACCTTTTACTGTTGGGGTCACAGCCCACAGTTTAAGAAGCACTGGGGAGGAAGCCAAATTATAAGAAAATTAAATGATCTGCCTAAATTCACACATTTCATGGCTAAGCCTGGACCAGAAGCCAAGTTATACCAATTGGCTGACCCAAGTAACATCTTATTCTATGAAGGACAAATAGCTTGTGTTAATCAATCAATCAATCAATGCTTATGAAGGACTTAATATGTACTAGCCACTGTAATGAGCTTTAGCTTACACTCTTAAGTAATGTACACTGGGGACACAACATTTTATATACACACACACACACACAGAGTGTATATACAAGATACACACAAATAGAAACAAAGTAACCTTAGAGAAAAGGGTACTAGCAGCTGGGGGGGGCGGGATGGAGAGGGGGTGGGCAGGAAAGACCTCCCACAAAAGGCAATCCTTGAATTAAATCTAGAAGGAAGTCAGGGATTCTATGAGACAGAGGTGAGGAGGAAGTGAATTCCAGGCGTGAGGGACAGCCAGTGCAAAGACACGGTGGTCAGGTATGAGGAATAGCCAGTGGGCTTGTGTGGCATTACCACAGAGTATGGGGTGGAGGGAAAATTACTTGTAAGAGATCTGAACAACAGAAAGACAAGTTGTGAAAAGCTTTATATGCCAAAGAGGGTTTATATCTGAACCTTGAGGAAATAAAGAGCCAAAGAAATTTATTGAGTAAGGAGATAGCATAGTCAGACTCGTACTTTAGCACACATACAATTATGTACAAAATAAATGCAAAGGATTCTGGGAGAATCAGAAAAGATTTTGGGGTCAATTTGGCTTCTTCTGGACTCTTCAGCAATTCTACTTACTCATTATTTGACAGTTAACTTCTCAGGGACGCATCTTTAGGCAGAAACTTTCAGGTGAACAAAAATGGGGAAAGGTATTATCCTTAACCAACTTTATGATTTATCTGATAGGCTGATGAAAATTTCCATTTCTGTGTCAAGAAGAAGGATATTTTTCTTATTACCCAAACACTAGGTGATGTCATTAAACACTCGCCCGAGGCTTCAGTAATGGTTTATCCCTGAGATGCAGGTGAGGAAGCTAACCATACTCAAAGGATTCCCACATGAATTTTCTGGCATTTGGCTCCTAATCCACACACAAACACTTTCGTGCCTTCATTCCCAAGTCCTCCCCCAGTGATTCTTCAAACTCAAGCCAGCAGGCACAGACTCAGACACACATTACCAAAATGGAAAGAACTCAAGTAAGTACATGCCCAGCAACAGAAAATGTCCCTGTCGTCTGGGGACCAACCTGGCTAAGCTAGAAGGTGATTTTTGGCCACAGCAACTTACAAAGACAATCTTGTAACACGGAGGGGTTATGCTACATCGCAGGGGAGAGAAGAAGTCCTCATGCTGATGAAATCATTCACCTTGGAGTACACAGAGATACTTAGTAGAAAGCACTCGAGCAGCAAGTGAAAATCTTGTGGCCAGATCCACAAGGGCTGAGATCAATGGCCAAATGGTCATTTCCATAATGTCAGTGAAGACAGCCAAATACACCATGCACCCCATACACACAGAGGAATAGCAGAGTATCTTACCTACAAAGTGTTCCTCCTCAGCACCCTCCCAGTTGACAACATAGATATTTTGCTGTATGGGATTTACTAAGACAGTTCTACCCATCCTACCCCCAACCCTTACAGTGGTCTAATAAACATTTATTAGACACTGATTAAGTATCACAGTTACTAAAGGTTTATTTAAAAGGACAGCAAGAAATCTAGTCCCAAATAAGGTTCACCAGTCTACCCAAGGTGTGAGAAAAATAATTTTCACTCAGGTAACTGACAAATGTAATTCCATCACTTGACTGATATAGCAAATCTAAGGTCAACAGGACCCAATCACAGGAAGATGCAAAGGGGATATTAAAACATAATTAGGAAGAAAGTAGAATCTTAGCAATCTGAAAAATTAAGATTAAAAACCAGAATCCTTCTGAAAAGGTTTAAAAACAAACAGAATTAAGGAGCTTTTAGCTCACAGGTCAAAATTCTTTTGTCACATAATGCCTTTATATATTTAATCTACTCCATGGCTACATTTTAAATTGACAAAAACAATCCTCCATAAGCAAAATTTAACATATGCTTGTGTGTATGTGTGCACCCATGCGTGCACGCGCGCACACACACACACACACACACACACATTAGTGACTGAGAATACAAATTCCCATTCAAGCTTCCCAACACTTTCATCATTAATAATATTCAAAAAAGTAAACCTCCACATTCTCCACCAAAACAAACAAACAAAAAAGGAGAATTCTTCTCAATGATTCCAAAAATAAGTTCTGGAAATAATACTTTAAACTGACCCAGTTCCCCAGTATCTCTAGCAACAGCGGCTAATTGTTCTCAACTTTGCAAAAAGTATCTATAAAGAATTCCATCAAAATAAAATTCCATCTCAATATAAGTGTTTTTAAAACAAACACCCAATATTGCATTAGATTAATTTTGATTACAGCTAAGCATTAAGGAAGGATATGGATTTTTCTTTTCCTAACCAAAATTAAAATATCAGATTAAAAAATGTACCAATGGTCCTTGGCCAAAGGTAAGAGATTTAATTTCCCTTCCATTTCCAAGTGTTATCATTCACTTACCAGAGGTATAGGGAAATGTGTGGCATATTGCAGGTGCCGAAGGAGGTCATAATTGGATGGAAATATTAATTCCCTCTGTTTTTCTCTCTTCATCATCTTCTCACTATTAACTGAAATTCTTCTGTCTAAGGAAGAGTTGGCATTCTCACAGGACTCTCCAGGCATAGGAGAAAAAATCTGAGTCATGTAAAACAAATATTGAAGATTGTAAATGAAAAATTAAAACTTCAAATTATAGCCATATATAGCATCTTATTTAAAAGCATGAGATACAACTTCAATAATACCTTTTCTTTAGGAGGTCCCTTGAACATAAAATTCTTAACAGACATGATTTCATTCATCTTGACAAAATCTCTGTCAAGGAGGCAGGAGTCAGAAGTTGTTAATCCCATTTTACAGATGAAGAAATTACCATTAAAAAGCTATTTGTCACGGTAATTAGGTAATTGAGGAATCAGAAGCAAATTAGATATCTGATTCATTGGACACACTGTATAATTTATTTTGGGGGGGTCCAAAGGGAGGATTTCAGAACCTGTAATTTTATTTGTATAGAGAACTACCTTTTATGGAAGCTCTCTCCATCAATGGAGATCAGTAAATCATCTGTAACTGACAGCCTTAGTCTAGGGGCTTTGAGAGGTTAAATGACTTGCCCAGGGTCATACAAGTAGTATGTATCAAAGACAAAGCTTGAACTCAAGTCAATTCTGCCTCTCTAAATACAAATTAAATGCATAAATAATTGTTTTAGGATAGCAGCCATAAAATAAGCCATCTGGTTTATACAAAGAAGTACTAATGGAGATTTATGAGGGAGAAAACATCTGGAACTAAAGTAGCAAGATAGAAAGCCAACAGACCAGAATCAGGAAAAGGTATTATCTAGAAGCTGAGGATGAACTGACAAAGACTAGGTAGGATGTTGTCACACCTACACTGTCTTGATAGCACAAGGAGTGATGATGATGCAGAGATGAAGTGAAGGGTAAATCTGCAGCGATCTCTCATTTGCTGATACGTTCAGAGGCAAGAGAGGCAACATGAAAGACAGGAACTGATACATTAGTGACACTTATCAGAGGCAAAGACAGGAGAATATTTGTAAGACAAGCACAAGAACCACTTTGGGGCATGTAACAAGCAACGAGAAGATGGACACAAGTCAGGGGGAATTGGAGGCAAGAGAATGGAAAAGTGGAACCTACTGGAAATTCTGAACCAAAGTCAGTTTTAAAGTCACTCTTGTCTACGTCATCAAAAATATTAGCGGTTCCTGAGTCAATGCCCATATGTTCCATAATGCTATGTTCCTGATAGCAGTCAGAGAAAGAAAATCACAATGTAAACTGTGTATACTTATTTGCAACCAGAAGCTAAAAAATATGACAGAATTCTTGAAAATGCAAGCTTCAATCTCCCCCACCAACCCCCAAGTCCTGAAAAAAATTCAGAAGAATGGTGATTTTTTTTTTTGCTTGACAAATTTGATGTCTTGCCCCATAGCATTTCTGGACATTGTCACACAGTGGATTGGGGGGAACATTTGAAACTACTCCCTGGGGAAAAAAATGGCCTTAGGTTTGTTACCACTGGCTATTTCTAATCACTTCCTCAACCCTTCTGTTTTTCTCAGTAAAAAGATTTTTTCTTTTTTGGTGAGGCAGCTGGGGTTAAATGACTTGCCCAGGGTCACACAGTTAGTAAATGTCAAGTGTCTGAGGCCGGATTTGAACTCAGGTCCTCCTGACTCCAAGGCTGGAGCTCTACCCACTGCGCCACCTAACTGCCCCCATAGAAAGATTTTTGACAACCAAAAGTTCAAGAGAGCTTAAAAACAGGTCTCAAAAAGAATTAAATCTTTACATGTAAGCATACTAGACAAATTAGGGGAAAGGGGAATCTATAATTTTTTTAAAAATGCCACTTTTACATGCATATCTTATCCTGATAGAAAACCAAATTCTCTTTTTGAATCTCTACATCTTCAATAATTTTATTCTTTTAAAATACATCCACTGTCTGGCCAACCTTGTTTCTGGAGGATTAATGATGAAACACTCGTACCTCCCCTTAATAGAGAGTGGTAGCTATGGGTGTGGAATGTTACATGCCTTTAGATGTGTTTTTTTTGGTTGTTGTTTTTCTTTGTTGCAAGGGTGGGTTTGACAAGCAGGATGGGAGGAAGGCGATGAGTATTGAGAAATGAAAGTGGCATATATATATTTTAAAGCATCAGTAAAACATTTTTTAAAATAAATAGAAATGTAATAAAATACACAAACTTTTCCTAAAGGTAAAAATCATATGTCTGACATGTATAACAAAATTGGCAGGAGGTATAATTTGTAGGGACTTATCACTAAAATCTCTCCATCACTTATCATTTAGCATATCCCTACCCTACTCTTTTTTTCTTTGTCAACTGCAGAACATAAGAACTAGAAAAAAGTGTCCATAAAACCAGAATTAGTTTAGGAGAAGACTTCTCCTTTCTTAAAAACCGGATGCCTTTTGTTTTCATTATCACATGCATTTCCGAACAACTTCCTGCCCATCCCCATTCATCAAGTGATCCTTTGTAACAAAGATTAAAAAAGATGAAAAAAACAAAAAAGGGGAAATTCAGCAAAACCAATCACACTATGTTTGGCATTATATCAACCATATTCCACACCCATAGTGCCCCACTTCTGCCATGAAATGAGAAAGGTACATTTTTGTAATCTCTCTCCTAGTCTAAGCTTGGTCTTCAAAATTACCCAAGGTTCCATTTCATTTTATTGTTCTTACTATTTTTAAGGTTACAGCCTTTTACAGAAAGTCCACATCAGAGAAAATGTCTGGTTACTTTTTTACCAGAGCCTGAATGGGACATTTATCTACCAGGAGTGGGCAGCCTATGGCCTCAAGGCCACATGTGGTCCTCTAGGTCCTCAAGTGCAGCCCTTTGACTGAATCCAAACTTCACAGAACAAATCCCCTTAATAAAAGGATTCATTCTGTAAAACTTGGACTCAGTCAAAAGGCCACACTCAGGGATCTAGAAGGCCGCATGTGGCCTCCAGGCAAGCAGGTTCCGCACCCCTGAAGACATCATAATGGCTTCCCTATCCCAATGTTGTTGCCTATAAGCAGCTTTGAGCTTTCATAAATACTCATAACTTATCACAAGAATAGGCCTGCATACCACGAAAGGAAGAATTTCCTGGCAAAGAAAGACCAAATTTTAATTAAAGAGGGGAAAACTACTGGATCTCATATATATTTTGAAAAATTAGAAAATGAGTGCTGATACAACAGGGAAGAGAGAGAGAAAAGGAAGTTACAAGATGACAATATACTTGCGATTTTTTAGGGCTCAAGCTGAATTCATGGAAAGCAAAATAATGCTGATTTTTGAAAAACCAATAATTTTTAAATAGTCTATAAGCGTTTCTATGATTTCTAGTATATACTGTTTCATTCAAACACTGGATTTCTGCTTCTAGTATTATTTAAGTTAAAAGACAATGGCAAGAGAATTGGTCTTAAAATACACTGGGGTCTCAGCCTTCCCACCCCACCCCTTGTCCCCCGTGGTGGAACTGGAGCTTGACCAAGTAGGTTAAAGGCACATTTAGTTCCTTACCTCTAATTTCACATCGTTGTCTTTTGAATAATGTTCATCCAGATTTTCCCCAGGTGGTGACCGTGGTCGAGTTGTGGCACTTAGGGACAAGTCCCCTCGAGATATCAATGTGCACATGTACGCGTCATGGGAGAACACATCATGCCGGATAAACTCACAAAATAGCAGCACCAGATTCACGAATTCTATCTTTTCATATTCACTATTTGGGTCAGCTATCGAGAAACAAAGTAAAAACTTTTCAGTAATTTTCTTGTACCCTGAATGGGTGACTAGCATCCTGCTGTATGACCACCAATCACTAGTGTTGGGTCATCCAGGAAATCTTGTATTTCATCATTGAAGGACGGGGGAAAATGTACTTGGTGTCTAGTATTTAACTTCATGATTGAGCAGAACATCGATTACACTTGGAGTTCGGAGATCTGCCTTGGAACCCTAGCACCTACACTAGTTTTATACTCTGAGTCTCAAACACAAATCCAACAGCTGTGAACCCATATTAACCAAAGCGAGGGCAGTAGGACTACCATCTGAGACTCAGCATGATACAGTAGCCAGAGTACTAGTCTTGGGGCCAGAAGATCTGAAATCAAATCCTGGCTGTAATACTTACTGCCTTAGTGACCCAGACAAGTCATTTCAGCTCTGTGCCTCAGTTTCCTCATTATAAAACAGACATAAACAACATTTGCACTACCAACATCACATGAATGCTGAGATGAAAGCAATTTGTAAAACATCAGAGTACTATATAAGTATTATACAATACACAGAGTTATTATGATTACTGATGTCAGTATGGCGAAAATGGGTAGATGGCTGGTGTTGAATCCAGGAAGACTTTGGTTCAAGTCCTACTCATGGAACATACTAGTTGTGTGACCATGGAGAAGTAACTTAAACTCTCAGTGAGCCAAACTGTTAAGGTTATATGAGTCACCAATCTAGACCAGTGGAGGGATGTGCCATACCGGGAGATCCCCACTAAGATAAAATCCAAACTCCAGACTATGCTCCACCCCTAAAAAGTCATCATTACCACTATCTGCCAAAGACTTCAACCAGAATCTAATTATCATTGCTAAAATTGATACTGACAATAAATGACATGGTATTTAATATTTAAAGATGATTATGATCCCTGAACAATGAGCTTATGAATAAACTCTGACAGGTAAAAATCACTGCCACACAGGTGCCTCCCACTAGAAATGTTTCCCCTTGTCTATAGGTCCCTCCTGCCACCCCAGAACAGCTGGCTAAGGTAGGCTGCAGCAAAAAACCCCATTTCAAGTGATATATGAACAGACAGAGCGGTAATGAGTGGGGGAAGGGGGAGGTCCATGAGGAGAATAAAAAGAGAGTTGAACTGTTTATCATGAAAAACCAATTACAGCAACAAAAAAACCAAAGCAGACTCATAGAAAGAATGTCTGTCTGTTGGTTATTCACATCTATTCTTCTCACACCAATACTGGAACCACACTTTTGTCTTTTTTCGTACCTTTGAGAATAGGGCAATAAAGGTGAGGCCCAGCTGTTGGGGCCAGTTACACCCCATAAACAAGACTGGTTACTAGCTCAGGGAGTCAGACTGGACCTTGGGGGAAAGAACTGAACTTGGGAGTTGGCAGTCCTAGGTTGGACTTACTTGACTTGTGACTTTGCATAAGTCACTTCACTCTCGGGCTCAGTTTCTTAATTCCTGTGAAATAGGAATAATGCTACATGAATTACCTATCTTGTAGGAAAATAGCTTTGTAAACCTTAAGGTGCCAGGTAAAAGCAAACTATAAATACACAGGATCTCTCTTAGGGTAGTTTCAAGCTACTAAAATTCAATGGCGTTTCTCTCACCCCACAGTGATAAGGACCAGCCTCCCATTCCACTGGAAATGGAACTGAAAAGCAACAATATCCAGGGGCTTCCTGCACTGGACCATTAAAATAATGGCTCGAATCCAGTTCCTTTCACCATTAACCATGGGCTGGCTCCAACAGAGAGATGGACTGACAACACCAGTATTCAGGAGGCAAAGTCGCCACAGTTCTTAATTCCTGCAGAGAGGTTCAAAATGGCAGGAAACAAATAGAAGTCCTATAGCTGATGTCTCTGGAGGGGCGGGAGGGTGTGTCTCAGCCATCTCAAAGAGTGCACCCTGAAGTCACTAGGTATGGGGCTTGAATAATCACAGGGGTGTGGAGCCCTAAGAAACAGCTTCCCATTAAAAATAAATGTTTAAAACAGTTTTTACATGTATCTGGAGAAAAATAAAATACTAAATAAAAGATATTCCTAATTAAAAAAAGAAAGAACGTTTCCTGAAGTGAGAGAAGCCCTGGATTCTTCAATACCAGGAATAACAGTGGAAAGAATACTAAAGATGGAGCCCAAAGACCAAGGTTCAGTCCTGGCCCCACCCTTTGTCAGGTATAAGATCTGGGTTCAAATCCAGCCTCTGCTCCTTACTATTCTTGAGACAAAGAACAAGGCATTTGGCCCTCTAGCTTCCTCATCTACACGGCACAGGGTCATATTAGCATAGACTTGAAGCTCAAAAGCATCTTAGAATGTGGATGGCATCATTGCTTTAAGGCTAAAAGGGACCTGGGGCGGGAGGAGCATCTAGCTCCCTCAGTTACAGATAAGGAAACTGAGGCCCAAGGAAATGAAATGATGTGTCCAACATCACATAAGTCATAATTAGTAGAGCCGAGACTCAAACCCAGATTCTCTGACTCAAGTGTCTTTCCATTATACTGTGCTATTATTATACTCTTTTACCACCCTCCTTCCACAAGGTGCTTGTAGGACTCAAATGAGATAGCGCTTGATAAACCAGAAAGCATTCTATTTGATTTACTCATTGTTTTTGCCCAAAATAATAAGGAACAACAGGAGAGGTGTATACCCTTTGCATTCCCGTGAATATTCTCATTCTCTCCCATATCCTAACTCAACATTTCTCTTTTTTCCTGCTTTGCAGCCCTCTCTAACCACATTCTTTTGAACTGCATCTCACCCACCAAAGAACCCCAAGCCAAACCCTCCTGGCCGGGCTCCTGTCCTAGATGTCACCTCAAGCCAGAAGGACCCTTAGCAGTGATCACACTCAAACAGATGTTACGATCTATCCCAGTAGTCTCTCCAGATCTCACCGTTGTTAGTGCTCTCTCCTTCCTGAAATTCTCCTAGAACACTTTATCTAAATACCTTCTTGTGCCCTTCCCTATCTCACGCATACTCTGTATATGTAGTACCCCATCCCAACTTCCCCCCCCAAAAAAAGAAAGTAAGCTGAGGATACAAGCTATTTTCATCCTTCATCCTCAATGCTAGCATAGGACCGAGGTGCCTAATTTTTTTAATGCTGCTTGAACTGAAGTGAATTCTAAGGTCAGGACAGACAATATCGCAACAAGTATGAATCTGCTAAAATAAAAAGATTCCAATCCTGGGTACATTGTGAAGCCCTGTTACTTCCATAGGGGCGTGCATTACCCACTGTAACACCTGTTTCTTTAGAGCTCACTCCCCTCTCCTATCAATTTCTAATTTTCCATTCTTCACATTGTGCCTTTCCTTCCCAGATCTAACATTTAATTAAAATATCTAATATTTTATTCTATTCTATAGTGAATAGAATGCTGGACTTCGGAGTGGGGAAAATTTGAGTCAGAACCGTGCCTCAGACACCCCCTAGCCGGGGAACAATGCCACTCACTCAACCTCTTGTAGAAATTAAATTGATCCTGTATCATTTTTTAATTGATGCTATTTACAATTAATTGATTTTCTCTGTAATTTCCTAAAGCCACAATTTTTTGTCTCTGAACTTAATTTAGAAATTCAGCTGGCCTGTAATGAGTTCAGTTTAGAAATCCAGTTCTCCTACTAATCACTGTTCTAATCTTGCCTCAAGGAAATCTGCTATCCTTGAGGGATGCAGGTGAAAACCAGGGAGTCTGGCCCTCTATCTCTTACTTTGCAAGTAGACTGAAACAGTGAAGACTTCTTAGTCATAAGAATTTATCTACCCCTCTGAGTTAAAGAAAACACGTTATCCCTCATAACTTCAGCTCCTGAAAAATCTTATCACATCTGTTCACTATCTCTGAAGGCCTACAAGTTAACCTGGTATATTTCCACAAAATATACTATCTACTTTTGCCTATCCTTGCCCAATTAAGGAGGGTCTTATCTCCCTCCTAGGAGACAGAGAGTCTGTTAGGCCTGGTCCACCATCAAGCACCTAAGGATGCAAATGGATCCCATAAATCAATCAAACATTCCTCTATGACAGATGGGGTGGTTGCTAGCCCTATATGCATTAACCTACTTTCCTTAAAATAACCAATCATGTTGTCCCCACATCCACAATGTTATCTCCCCTATAACCAATTGTATTGTCTTCTCCACCTACCCAATTCTGTACTCCCCAAAACTATATTAAGGCTGGTGAGTCCTACCTTGATATCTCTGGCCATTGACCCAATTTATTGGTTACTGCTAATCTAATAAATTGATCATGCTCAGACCACTGGAGTGGTTTTCCATTTCCCTTCTCCAGCTCATTTTACAGGTGAGGAAACTGAGACAAACAGGGTTAAGTGCCTTGGCCAGGGTGATATAGCACTGAGGAGTTTGGTCTTTTAATATGTGTAACTTCAAGATGACAATTACTAATAAGAAAAAAAAGAAGAATTCAGCAACTCAATACAGTGTCAAATGCTTTATCCCTAAATTTGAATCAAAGAGGAAATACTTACACAGTGAGGGAGCTTGTGTGTCTAAAAATCTAAGCAGGACATTCTGAAATACGGGCAGGCTAGACCCAGCAAGGGAAGCCGAAGAAAGAGATTCCTTCTCATCTAAGACTTCTGATTCACCACAACGCTAGAGATTGAAAACAGAACGTATTTGCTAGAGTGAGGTAATCACAGCAACTTGGTTCCTTTTCCCCCCAACAATTTCATATCACAAATGAACTAATGAACAGTTAATTATTGGTTTCTCTAAGGGTTATAGACAATAATCTGTTTATAAACTATGGGTATGAATTACAGAGTGGATAATTCAATTGTGACCAATTTTTCAAAGAAATAACTGGACACAAAACTTGGGCAGTACTCACATTGACCAAATTAAGCAATGTAAATGAGCCAGACCCAGAATCACTTGGGCTATGTCTATGCTATCTTCCAACAATCTCTACAATAGTGGGGTCAAACTAAAAAAAAAAAAAATTGGAAAACCCTATATATTGACTTCAAAAACCATAAATTAACATTATGTTGTGTTATATTTTTATTTCTTTTTTCCCCCAGTTACATTTTAATATGATTTGGGATTGAATTTGACATCTTTGCTCTACATTAAAGAAGTGTGAAAAAAAAATCTGGATTGCTTAATAAAAATAAGTATATTATAGAAAGAAAAAATACTTAGATTTAATTATATTCCCTAAATATGATCAGGAATCTGGGAGTAGGGTAGAATTATTCATCTGCATTTGATTTGTGCATGAAGTATCTCATCTGATTTTAGTGAAGAATAATCTATGCTTCCTAAAAGATTAATTTAGGTCTTTTATCACATTTTTGACAATGGGACCCCAGGACTTTTGGTATTGCTGTAATTTAGAAAAAAGTCCTAAGAGAGTCACCTAAGACTATCGTTCAGCTGGTTTGCATTCCCAGTGAGCTGAAATGAGTAGTACCTGCTACCCCTCAAATGAACAAGGTACCAGGTTTAGAAATAACCTAAAGATTCCTGGTCAGTCATTCGGATTTTTCTGGCCTTTGTCTTTTGCCTTTTACTAGACATTCAACTGCTTTTTGTTTACAACCTACGTGGTCTTATTTTCTAAGAAAATGTGGTTGGGGAATTGCCAGAAGAATATTTAAACACACATTAATTCATTTAAAAGTAGAAAGGAGGCTATGAAAAGTCCCCGTGCACATCTAAAAACCCATGGACTTCACCGGTAGCACCATGATAGATGAAAGAAAATAATGTTAAATGAGGTTTGTGTATGTCTGTGTGTATGTGTGTAGATGTATGGACACAAAACCAGCCAAAAAGATTTGCATAAGTTTTTGCCCTTTCACATTTTATCAGACCTACCTTAATGCAAGGAAACTGACTAAGACTCTAGGACTAGGGAAAGAACGATAATAATATTAGACAGGTAATTAGGTAGTGCAGTGGACAGAGTGCTGGGCCTACGGTCAGAAAGACCTGAGTTCAAATCTCACTTCAGAAACATACTAGCTGTGTGATCCTGGGCGAGTCACTTCACCCTATTTGCCTCAGTTTCCTCATCTGTAAAACGAGCTAGGGAAGGAAATGGCAAACCACTTCAGCATCTTTGCTACAAAAACCCCAAATGGGGTCACAAAGAGTCAGACACAACTGAAGTGACTGAACAGTGGTGATAATAATAGCTAACATTTACACACACCAGGAACTCTGCCTTGGGCTTTACAATTTATCTCATTTGATCCCCAGAACAGCGCTGGCAGGCTGCTATTGTTATTCTCATTTTACAAATGGGAACCTGAGGCAGGCAGAGTTTAAGTGACTTGCCCAGGGTGACCAAGCTAGTAAGTATCGGATCTGAACTCACGTCTGCCTGACTCCAAGCCCAGTACTCTATCCCCTGGGTCACCTATCTGCCCCTGAATTTGAAAACAAAGCTACAAGTTCTGTGAAAATTCCATGATCACTAAGTTCCAGCATAATTAGGAATCTGGGAACTAAGCTGTTCTGTGATAACTAAGTACTGTGAAAGCTAAGAATATGGGAATTAAATAATTAATTCTATGATAACTCCACTTCTTGAGTTTTCTCACAGATTCTCAAAGTGATCAACCACCAGCATGTATCTTTCGGCAGAGCCATGTCCTGGCCAAAATGCTGATTTTGTGAAGTACCCAATGGGGCAAAGATCCTTTCTACGTCAAGCCCCTCAAGTTCAGCTCCCCACAGCATGATTACTCTGCAACGATCATTTGTGGTCGACGTTGCGTGGATACCTTGGGAAGGAAAAGATGAGTGCAAATGCTCCCTATATTCCATACTCATCTCTCCATTAGATGTCAAGTATTTCTGAAATTCTGGTTGATGGAACACAGCAAACACAGCCCTATCTTTTGCTTCCAATCTTTATGTGTACATAAAAACTATAAATGTCTCAAAGCAATGCCCTTTGCTGAGGTCCTTTAACACTGTTCTAGAAAGATATTGATGAGAAGACATACATAGCCACATAGAAAATTTATAGAAGGGCCTTTGCGTTGACTCAAGAAATACAAGCATTTTGTGTTTACACATAAGTCAACTATTGCATTTGAAATTGCCTAAGAAAATGGTGACCACAGAGCTTTTTTTAGGATTAAGGGAAGCCTTAGGGAGATCTAGGGTGAGTCTCCATCTCCCCTGTCTCATCTTCATGTAAAAAGCCTAAGTTAGATATATGAAAGAATGTGTTACCCTGATCTTCCCAACACAGTTATCTGGAATTAGAATGATCAAAGCCTAAGTGAAAAAACAAACCAAAAAACCTTACTTCTGCCTCGATTTCGGCCTGCCTCTTCTCCAAAAGTTTGGCTACGGCCATGGCTCGGTGTTTGCCAGACCTTTTACAGCTCACAGCCCACTCACATAGCAAGGTCACCACGGCTTCATCGTTTGGAGCCACCTAGCCAACAGGAAAGAATAATGGCAGCATTTATCATGGGGGAGAAAAACAGAGCAAAGACACAGTACATGCAGTACATCTAAGGTTTTCAAAAATATATTTCTTAGCATAATTAAATATAATAATTAAGACTATATGATACAATAATAATATAGGGATCCCATTTTTAAAGAAAAGAATTATCATAAGTAAATTAACTGCAAGATATCAATAAAACTGTTTAGATTTTTTCCCCTCATAAACCTGCAAGATAGAGCAGAAATAACACCCACTGGTTTAGAGTCAGAACACTAGGTCTGTAGCCTTTCTCTGTCACTTACGCCCTCTAGGATCTAAAAATCTGTTGGAATTGTATTTGAATCGTTATCGAATTTTACAATTAACTACATAATAGATCCATAAGAACATAGTTCTAGAGAGCCAGAACAGATCTCAAAGGCCATCTAGTGCAACCCTTTCATTTTATAGATGAGGGGACAACTAGGTGGCACAGTGGATAGAGAACTGGCCCTTGAGTTCAAATCCAGCCTCAGACTTACTAGCTATGTGACCCTGGGCAAATCACTTAACCCGGATTGCCTCCCCAAAAATCTTTTTTTTGTAGATGAGAAAACTAAGCTCACAGAAGTTAAGTGATTTATCTAAGAGCACACAGATAATAAGCAGCAGAGGTGAGACTGAACCCAGAACCACACTCTTTCTACAATAACACAACGCCAAAGAATAAGTCCTTCTTGGTTCTACTACTCTTTGGTTCTACCAGATGCACCAAATTTTGGTTGTTTTCACTGGACTATGCTTATTCTACTTGAGTTAATCCATCAGGCAATCAAGAAACACAAAAAGGAAAAAAAACAACCACCACCTTGTTTTACCAAGCAATTACTACGGTAAAACCGTGAACTAGCTCATAATGAGTGAATCCAGCCTTCTACCATCCTTGCAGTACCCAGGATGGGAGGAATAAAAAGGAAAACACTTTTAGCTTCTGAGAAAGAATCCATGGGCAGGACACTGTAGAGAGCCAAAGGCAAGAAGGCTTAAGCCCAATACTGGTCAAATGACTGGTCAAATCACCATCACAAGGAAAAGGATTCTCTGACTGCAAGCTGCAAGGAACAACAGAATGATGTAATTCACAATTACATAATGCTGTAAGATTTACAAAGCATTTTACCTGTGTGGCCTCATTGGATCCCCACAACAACCCCGTGAAAAATTGGTGCTCATTTTACAGATAAGGAAACTGAGAGGGGCAGCTAGGTGCCACAGTGGATAGAGCTCTAGCCTTGGAATCAGGAGGACCTGAGTTCAAATCTGGCCTCAGACACTACAACATTTACTAGCTGTGTGACCCTGGGCAAGTCACTTAACCCCAATTGCCTCACACCCCCACCCAAAAAAAAAAGGAAACTGGGGCTGAGAGAAGTTTGTGACAGACTCAGGTTCACACAGAACTCAGCTTTTCCTGTATTTCCAGTACTCTATCCAATACACCGCCCTTGCTGCCTGTAGGGTCATAGCAATCAAGCTGGACCTTGATTGTGCCAGGCTATAAATGCCACAATAAAAGGCTGAATGAAGGAGGGTGCTTTTTATCCAAGAGGAATTAGCCTAAAGATTTATAAGCGGAAGAGTTAACAGTCAGACCTCTGCCTTAGGAAGATAATTTTCACCACTTTGGAGGACAGATTGGAAAGAAGCAAGACTGGTAAGGAGGTTCGTGCCCAGGGTAATGTAAATGAGCCTCATAACCAAAGAGGGGCCGTGTGAATTCCAGGAGACAAATTTAATATTTAAATTCAAAATTTAACAGTAATTTCAATAATTTAAAAAATTTTACGAAATAAGAAAACAGCAGTGGCAGCAAGAGTCTGAAGGGACTGAAGAAAAGTCAGTGCAACAATGAACGGTGGGTGCTCTGATAGGGCAGGAAAAGGAAGTTGGTGGTCAAAGAGATAAAAAGATAAAATGGCTAAGCATTCTAAGAGTAGAGAGAAGGAGAATACAAATAATAGCTGTTTTGATCCTAGAAAAGTCTACCTATCATTAGTTATTTTCCATAATGTTGTATTTTCACAGAAGCAATGCCCTAAGAGGTAGTCAGCTTTCACAGGAATGATATGTGTAAATGGGCCATCAGCTAAGAGTAGAATTGTGCAACGTGGCAGCAAAGACAGTCAATGAGCACTTATTAAGTGCTCCCCATATGCAAAGCTGTTGTTGGTTGACTGGTCGTTCAGTAATGAATGCCTCTTTGTGATTCTGCGGACCATACTGCCCACGGGGTTTGCTTGGCAAAGATACTGGAATGGTTCGCCATTTCCTTCTCCAGTGCATTAAAGCAAACAGAGCTTAAGTGACTTGCCCAGGGTCACACAGCTGGTGAGTGTCTGAGGGGAGATTTGGACTTCGGTCTCCTGACTCCAGGCCCAGGGCCCTATCCACTGGGCCATCTAGCTGCCTCATGTGCAAAGTCAGGTTAGCCCATAGTAAACAATGGAGTGGGGTGGGGGAGGAGGAGCCAATTTTTATCTTCACAAGTACAGAAAGATAGCTGGGCTATCTTTGACAACATATACCTATGAAACAAGCATACATGCATAACTACCACATAGTCCCCAACTAAGCTTCTGCTATTTTCCTATCTTCTTACAACAAAACAATGGATACTCCATGGAAATCTGGCCACATTTACTGCTAGTTAAAGCAATAAGTAATGTAATTTTTCCCTCTACCTATTAAATACAGTATTTCACATTAAGAATAGAATCAATTTGGTAGAACATTCATTGGTCCAAGAACCATTTAAACTTCTTAGCCTGTAACAGAATGTCAACCATTTAGTCAAAGTTTCAGAAGGACACATATATGAACAAAATCTTTCTTATAAAACTTCACTGGTTTCAAACACAGTAGATGAGTGTTCAATAAAATGAAAGACTCCGGTTACTAGGAGGACTCACTATTTTACAAAAGCTGCTAGGAAAACTGGACAGCAGTCTCGTAGGGATGAGGTTTAGACTAACACCTGGCAGCATATAATAAAGATAAGCTCCAAATGTTTATATGAGTCAAAAGATATAAAAGGGCACATCACAAATTAGAAGAACAAGGATGAAACTACATTTCAGACATATGGATGGGGAAGAGTTCATGACCAAAGCAACAGACAGGATCACACAAGATAAAAGGGATAATCTCTGGTTACACAAAATTAAAAGGTTTTGCACCAATAGTTAAAATTTCAAAATTAAACAGGTTTCTTAGATAAAGGTCTCACACTGTTGAGTCATTTCAGTCATGTCCTACTCTTCATTACCCCATTTGGGGTTTTCTTAGCAAAGATACTGGAGTGGTCTGCCATTTCCTTCTCTAGTTCCTTTTACAGATGAGGAAACTGAGGCAAATGGGGTGAAGTGACTCGCCTAGGGTTACACAGATAGTAAGTTATCTGAAGCCAGATATGAACTCAGGAAGATGAGTCTTCTTGACTCCAAGCCCAGTATTCTATCCACTATTCCACCAATCCAAGATATAAAGGAATTGTTTCAAACTTATAAGACTAGGAGATAATCCCTAATAAATAAGTGGTCAAGGATATGATCAAGCGGTTCTCAAAGGAGAAATATAAACTATTAAAACTCATCTGAAAAATGTTCTAAGTCACTAATAATAAGAAAAACACAAATTAAAGGAACTCTGAGGTTGCATCTCACACCAACCAGACTGGCAAAGATGACGGACCAAAGAGGAAAATGACAAGTGGGGGAGGGGCTTTGGATAATAATCAAGTGTTCTCTTTGTAGAGTTAGGAATTGGTCCAGCCATTCTAGAAAGTGATTTAGATCTGTGGCCCCAAGTTACTAAACCATGTCTATTTGAACCATTTCTACCACTACTATGCCCAGGCGCCAAAGAGACTAAAGGAAAAAGAAAAGGAATGATCACATACAAAAACATTTGTAGCAGCTTTTTTCATAGTAGTCCAAATATAGAATTAAGGGGTGCTCTCCCATTGGGGAACGGCCACATTGTCATATGAAATGATAAGCCAGGCTATAAGAGGAAACATGCCCCTCATCAGCTGCCAGCGAAGGGATGAACTTCTAATGGAGAGAAAAACACATCGTTTTGGTCATGGCTAACGGGAGATTTGTTTTGTAAGACCATTCGGGTATATGGTAAGGACTGAACTTTTCTTTGTTGTTCTAGAATGGAGAAAGCCAGTGGGAGGAACAGATTACCAATCTATGTGAAAATAAATAAATTCATCTTAAATAACTTCTTGAAAAAAGAAAACTTTACTGGTTCCAAAACCAACGTTGAACTATTTTATTCAGTAGGCTAATTTAATGACTAGCCAAGTACCGCTTAATAGGTACATTCAATAAGATCACTAACTGACAGAAATGCTACAGAAACTCTAAGTGAGCTAATGATTATACAACAGAAAATCTGTGTCCTAATATACTAAAACTAATTTTAATTTCAGATATATAGTTGGTCAATTTTATTGACCTAAATTAAGGGTAAATGTAGCTTGATGTGACAGACTTGGAGTCAGAAAGACCTGGGTTCAAACCTTGCCTACGATAATTATAAGCTGTGTGATACTGATGAAATTGCTTGATTCCTCTGAGCCTATGTTTTCTCATTTATAAAATGAGGATAATACCTGCATTACCTACCACCCAGAGCTGTTGCAAGGCTCATTGAGATAATACATGTCAAATACTTTGCAAATGATAACTTGCTATATAAATGTCAGTTATTATTTAAGCTGGAAGAGGTAAATCACAAAGCCTGCTACATTGTGTGATACAGCAGTGCTGTAATATGAATCTTATCATAGCCTCCCTGGCATGGACATTCATTTTCAAGCAGCTAACCCTAATCACAGACATATGCTTCTGAAAAGAAGTAGAATGGCATGTTCCCTAACGGTTCAATTGATAACAATCTTATTCCTTTGGCTATCTTGTCATTCAGAGCAACTT